CATCACTGGGTCTCTGTGCAATGCAGGCAGATCATGGCTGTGTGTGGGGGGGAGGAGCCAGCAGGGTGCTGTATCTATAGCTTCCTGAACACATCACAGCGCCCTGCCTCTGTACTCCTCTTCTTGAGGCAAGCAGTGGGCCGGATCATGGGAGGAGTTATGCAAATATGCAACCAATGTTCTTTAGTTAATTATTTAGTAATAAATAAATATTTAATTTTCAGGTGAAATGTAATTCATTCATAATAGTGAGACGGGTCAGTACCGCAGGACGGCCACTAGATGGCGCCGGGGAGCGCAGGACAGGAATACTGTGTGCTCCTCATCGCCATCTGGTGGCAGCTTTCTATTATTACGCTGGACCGGGACTGACATTACCGACACACAATGGGGGAAATGTATCAAAACTGGAGCGGCTGTGCACGGCAACCAATCAGCTTCGCTCTTCAGTTTGCTCAGTTAAGATTTGAAAATGAAAGAGAGAAGCTGATTGGTCGCCATGTAAAGCTGCCCCCGATTCTGCCTGCTCCAGTCTTGATACATTCCCCCCTAGTATGTTTTATAGATTCATTCGATGGTGGTATGAGCATCACATGACCGATGTCTTAAAGTGACAGGGAACGCCTGGATATATCTAAATCGGGGGTAGCAAACCTCCAGCCCTCCAGCTGGGCTGAAACTACAAATCCCACGATGCATCTCTCTTCGGGAGTCGTGTCTGTGAGAATCTTGCAATGCCTCGTGGGATTTGTAGTTCCACCCACACAGCTGGAGGGCCGGAGGTTTGCTACCCCCCTGATCTAAATGATGGGTCCGGGGCACGGAGCGATTGTGATTTTATAGATTCCCACTTTGCGCCGTCAGCCTCGTAGCGCCGCGCGGTGATACGAGGAGACGGATTTCGTGACATTTCGGAGATCGCAAATTCTTCTGGGAAATCAAGTTTTATAAAATCTCAGGAACATCCCCAGTTACAAATCTGTTACATTGTATCATTCTTGGGGCAGAAAGCGCCGCCCTCCCCGAAGCTCCGCCGCCCTCCCCGAAGCTCCGCCCCCTCACCTGAGGAATCCCAGGAGGCCGAGTCTGTACTGTATGGACACCACCACAACGTTCTCATAGGCAGTCAGCGCGGATCCCTCGAACATCATGGTCCCCCCCATCCGCAGTCCTCCGCCATGAATGAACACCATGACCTGCCGGCAGAGAGGGAAGAAATCGGCTGATCTGAATTCTGATGGAGATTTTATGATGTGATACCCGACCCATCCTGCTGGGGGCGCTGTGGGGAATCCCCCTACACCTCTACATTGCACTCAGTGACCCCTACAGGCTGGGTAGGGACCTGTACCCCCTCTACATTGCACTCAGTGACCCCTACAGGCTGGGTATGAACCTGCAGCCCCTCTTTATTGCACTCAGTGACCCCTACAGGCTGGGTAGGGACCTGCACCCCCTCTACATTGCACTCGGCATGTTTCCTAATCATGAATCTATGATCTCCTCACCGGTAGTTGATAATTCTTCCCCCTGCTGGCCGGGGTGAAGACGTTCAGGTAGAGGCAGTCCTCGGACAAGGGCGGTGTTGGGAAAGTGTATTTGAAGGACTTCAGCATGTAGAGGAGTCTGTCCGGACTCTGGATACACCTGGAAGGAAGAAGAAGGGATCACACAGCGGCAGTGACTGCCCTTCCCTGTGCTGTCGGCTCAGGACATGAAAGGGTTAAAGAGCTCGCCAGTCCATATGGACCCATCACATGGACACTCACACTGGGGGGTATTCGGCGGCCTCTCTGACGGCTGTCCAGGGTTCAGGAGGTTCCGGAGCCGCGTATCGCAGAGGCCCAACTGGTGGTTTGGCGAAAGGGATGCCATAGAATGCGTGCACGGCCCTGTCCGTCTCTTTCACCGTGACGGCAATTCCACGCAACTTCCCATACCGCGTGTTCACCAAGAGAGTCCCGGCATCCTCTCCTGAAACCAGCAGAGGCAAAGATTACTCCAGCCGTCCCCATACCACCAAACCCAACGTGGGATCATTCCAACCATCCCCATACCACCAGACCCAACATGGAACTATTCCACCCATCCCCATACCACCAGACCCAACGTGGGATCATTCCACCTATCCCCATACCACCAAACCCAACGTGGGATCATTCCAACCATCCCCATACCACCAGACCCAACGTGGACTCATGCCAGACATCCCCATACCACCAGACCCAACGTGGGATCCTTCCACCCATCCCCATACCACCAGACCCAACATGGAACCATTCCAGCCATCTCCATACCACCAGACCCAACATGGACTCATGCCAGACATCCCCATACCACCAGACCCAACATGGAACCATTCCAGCCATCCCCATACCACCAGACCCAACATGGACTCAATCCACCCATCCCC